TAGTTCTTTGATGCTGATACAATTTTTGAAGAACTCTGCTTTGTCTGCTTGCGAACGAAACCGTCCTTCAAAACATCTCAGCTGTTTGCAGAAGCCTCGATAAAGATCACCCGATGTCCGTTCGTTCCTAATGGCACGTTCATTTGATCTGCCACGAACCCCGGATATAGTTATAACTTTTGCTGTCAGGCCCTCAGATTTGGATTGGGAGACCACGATGCGGCGGGCTAGGTCCTCGTTCTGTATGGCCATTGGGAATTCGAAGTCAACACCGCAACAGTATTGCGGGCTTGCAAGAACTCTGATAGATAGAGGCATTAGATCAAGGGTCTAATATCGCATCTCTGCAATACGTAATACGGAAGATCAGGTAAACGTTCCAACGTATGAGCCGACAATGCTGCAGTGTAGGAACTCACAAAATACTGCATTTCAACAAGAGACCTCGATAGTACACGCTGGATGTCAAGAAGTATTATCCTGAATACCAAGAAGTATTCTGGATGTCCAGAAATAATCTGAACCTTGGGCAGCTTGAATTCATAGCAAGGGTCATCGAGCCTCATTCTGGGTTCCCACCGTATGTAATGACTACCATATATTTTCGAATTTGGACAATGTTCAAGCCATTCGAAAAGTAGTGTTAACGCGCCCTGCAAGCTACATCTCCATCAGAGAAATTCAAGGATGTACGCACAAGTTAAATCCTTTCTATGAATGTGTGTCATTTTGCTTTGGACTCACTAAACGAGCAGATATTCCACTGACCAATGGCCAATTCGGCGTGTCGAGCGCAAGCTACGTATAAGATGAGATTGCGTCTAAACAGATCAACGACAGACTCAAGCGCACAGTCAGTCATGAGTCTGTACGATCTGATCACGCCGGTATATATGATGGGACTAGCCCACGCGCGCGAGAAGCAGCTCGAGAGCATTGTCGTAAGCGTTGATTGTGGACTGCCAAGCTCATATTGCATGGATGCGAAGAGAGATGGGACGACCAAAGGCGTGAAGCGCGT